GTGTCTCAGATGCCACCTACAGAAACAACCTCCAAAGAGAGGAGTACTTAGCGCTTGGTCCCTTTCCTGAGGTTATCAATACAGGCATCAACTGTACCATTTACTTTACCTCTGTGGAGAGGAGTGAGCTGGACTGACTGAACTCTTCAACATCACAGGTTCGTAGAATGGTTTGGGTTGGAACAGACCTTAAGAGATTGTCTAGTTCCAACCCCTCTGCCATGGAGAGGGAACTTTCCACAGACCAGGGCCTGGCCTTGAACACTTCCAAGGATGGTGAGTCCACGACCTCTCTGAACAACCTGTTCCAGTGCCTCACCACCCTTAAAGCAAAGAGTTTTTCCCTAATACGTAATCTAAATCTACTACTCTCCTTCAGCTTAAGGCTATTCCCCCTTGTCCTATCACTCCATGCCCTTGTGAAAAGTCTCTCTCATACTCTCTTGTAGATCCTCTTTAGGTACCGGAAGAGGCTCTAAGGTCTCCTCAGAGCTTTCTCTTCTCCAGGTTAAACAACCCCAGCTCTCTCAGCCTGCCTTTATAGGAGAGGTGCTCCAGCCCTGTGATCAACTTAGAGGCTCACCTCTAGACTCATTACAACAGGTCAACATCTTTCTTATGTTGGGGCCACAGAGCTGGACACAGTACATCAATTAGTTGGGAATTAGAGGAACTGCTTGTTCCCTCTCTGCAGAGACAGCTCTGAACCACAGACATTGAAACACCCAGCTGCTTGCAGCTCCTTTAGAACACTGCTGGTGCCCTTTTCCATTAATGAAATTATTTAAAGAATGGAACACTGTGGCTGCAGCAGCTCCCATGGGGTAGCATCTGGTAATATGGGATTACTGCAGCAACTTCAACACACAGGTGTATCACCTTTCAGTCGCCAGCATTTAAGGTTTAGTAATGGTCTGGAGAATCTGATACATTAAGTCCTGCCTCTACTCTCTAGTAAGTAACAGAAAATAAGGCCCTGGGAGTTTGTCATGATAGCTCTGTGAAAGCTGTGCAGGCAATGAAGTTCTGTGCTGCTGCCAGTCCTCAAGGCATCATGACAAATTGCACATGGATCCAAATCCTCTTTCTTCAAGTGAAAGAAATTTTTGTTAGTCTTCAATATTCTCAGCTCATAATTGCTTAGGATTAGGTAATCAAATTGCAATGAGTAGCCTGAATGAGTGATGGACATTCTGGTTGATGCCCATTGACCAGTTGAGACCTGGATTATGCTGATGTGAGAATACTTTTGTTGCATGCAAAGGGCATTAAAGGAATGGAAAATCTGTTGTCTGAAGTAGCCTCATCTCCAGCTGCGGGTAGGTAGAGCTTGGCACAATGGAGAAGGAGTTCATGAATATATTTTTGCATCTCAAATACTGGGCTAACTTTTGATTGCCACTCCTGCACAGGTGAGAGCAGCTCAAAGTTACTTTGTTCTCTGTGAGGACCTTTTATTGCTGCTGGGTCCATGAGTGCAAAGGAACACCCTAATCATTCCTCTCTCCCAGGCATAAATTTGTGCTAACCTAAAATCACTGTAGCTGCTTTCTGACAGACAAAATTCTCTGTATGGAAGTCCTCAGAGGGTAGACCCACTAGATTTAAAATGCTTCTGAGAAACATACAGAATGTATTTTGTACATATATGAAGAGCAGAGAACTGAGATCCATTACATAATAGGTCCAGGAAGAGTTGCTTTCCAAAGGGCCAAAACCTCATATAATGGGATATGGTTGCAGGGAAATCGAGGGGATCCATGTCCATGAATCCTTCTGCTCAAGCTTTGGAGCAAAAAGAGAGTTCTTTTTTGATACTTCATTATCAGGATGAGGACTAATTATCCAGGCTGAGGACTCTCTGTATGGACTTTGCTGGCTTTTTGATGAAAATTTATGTATAAATGTCACAAGCTGGTGGGTCTTCTCCATGCACCAAAACTCTATGAGTTTAGAAATGGCATGAACTGAAGCATTTTGACAAATGCATAAGAAGGACAAGAATACATCAAATATGACAGAATATTAGTCTCTGTTGTCTTGTATCTCCTCTCTCTCCTATTTTCTTTCTGACTTAGAGACAAGACACAGCTGAATGAAGTTATCTTTTTCCAAAGAACCAGAGAGATGGGGCTAGGATTCAGGGGGATCCTCCTAATAGAAGGAATATCATCTGTCAAGCCAATCTAAAATAACAGTGAAAATGAAAATGAACACTCCACAAGCAGTATTTCCTATGATGAGTGTGTTTATTTTCACATTTGTTCACACACAGTTACCTAAAGCTCTGGCAGGACAACTGCAGGCAGGGCATAATCTATGATAGATTGTTGGATTTCAATGTTCACTTCTCTCATTGATTGACTAGATTTTGGCTGCAATATCCTTCTGGACATATTTCAAGACCTGTTTGTTTTCAATGGTTTTGGCAGATGGCTGTATAAACTCCAAGTCCCATGATTATGATTCATTTCTGTGTGAATAATTTTGGTTATCAAGTTTGATTGTATCTCTATGTGTTTTTACACTATTCACGTGTACACTGAGTGCATTCAGAGCCAGAGTTGTGCTTACCCAAATACTGTTTTTTTGCTAACGAGCAAAAAACTACAGATTAACATTTTCATTTTTTTTTTACATTTAATAGTTTGCTTCTTTTTTATTGTCTATTATATTCTTCTTCAGTTACATATCACGGTTCTTTTATTTTATTCAAGTATTTCAATGTTTCCTATTTTCTCCCAGAAATTCTTGTTTAGCTATTGCTTCATTTTGCTTTTGTGGGGTCTGGCATTTCATATACTAATGCATGGTGGAAATAAAAACCCTTTGGAGCCTTTCTGACTCTTTGTATATCCCCATTTCTCTTCCTGCCGAAACAGAAATATCAGACATGCCATTGCAATCAGATTCCTTTTGGATGATTACCTTCCTTCCCAAATGCCTGATTCATTATGGAATACTTGTTAATTCCTGTGGAGAATGACTTCATTCTATCACGCGAGCTTCTGTCCTTCTAAGTGATACTGTTGCACCAGGCTGGATGGGACTGAACTGGAAAGGGCTGCTGGTCTAATCAGGCACGATAGGGAGCAACAGAGAACACTTTTGAGCAAAGAGAGGACAACATTTGAAAGCTTCAGTTTCCAACATCACACATTAGGACTGATGGGCCAGTTCAAAACGGACATAAACACTCACAGTCTCCCATCTCAGAGATGGGGTTCAGTGCTACCCACAGGAGCTGTCTGCAGGCAGACCTGCCAGGTTGCCTTGGTGGCAGTGAGGCTTGACTGGGCTTTGGTGGAGATGGAAAGCAGCCACAGGGCCAGCCACACATGGTTTTTTTATTTTAGCTCTTTTTGGCATTTTCTGTTCATCAGGTGTGGTGTACAACCAGCACGTTGGTCTGAAGAGCGCAGTAAAATTCTGCTGGGGCCTGTTGAGTCAACTTGTCTGTAAAACAGGAGGGGGTGGCTGATGGTCTGAAATCCAGGGAAAGCTGGTGCAGCCACGGTATTCAGCTCTCAGAAGATGTGAGGGCAGAGTGCTACATGGGAGGATATATGTGAGAGGTTTTATCTGAGCAACTCAGACACAGATACCCACCTTCCTTTCTCTCCTGGTCTGTTGTAACGCGGTCTTCTAGTAAAGGTTATAAAAGGAAAGCCATCTGTATGTAAGTTTGGGCTGACAGAAGAATTTCATGAAAAATTCAGTGTGGATTGGGGAGGACAGGAACTATGCATAGGAACAACATTTTTCCACCAGATTTATTATTTTATAAGTTACCATGCAAGAAGCAATTTACAAGCATCAGCAAAGATTCAATTGCTTTCTTATATATCCCCCAAAGCCTTACTTGAAAAAAATCCAACCAAACAAAACACAATCCTTTAATGGAGATAAGTCTTACAAAGTTTTTAAGGATGCCCTAAGCTTTTAAAAGGTTGAACATTCAAAATTAAGGCTCTAAGATAAAATAATTAGACCTTTGTTAATTACAGAAGATCACAGGAAGGATATCCAACAGACTTTGACTTCTGCTCATGATTTCATTAGTCTTCACATTTCTCTAGCTATATTATCCAAAGCAGGCTTTCTCCATACTAGGCCTGGGGAGAATATTCCCAAAGAGAGCAGGGTTGTCTCTGGAGAGAAGACTTGTCTGTTGAAGAAAGGGAAGCATGGGGGAATTATAGGGCTGTGGATGTGTTTGTGAGCATGTGGAAATGAGATTTACACGTGTGTTCAGGAGATCTGCAGCCAGAGGAACAAAGTTTTCCTAACTCCTGCTTTTCATGGATCGTGCCAGTTCTACTTCCCTTGGTTTTGCCCAAGTTCGAGAAAAGGAAAAAAGGAAAAAATGGTTGCAATGCCTCAGCAACCCCTTGAAGAGATTATATGAAAGTATGAGAGATAGAACATCTCTGTTTTTACTGCAGAACTTTCACAAAGCTCAAATTGTGATGAGGCATGAGTAGAGATGCAGTAAAAAAAGTTGGTAGCTACAAGGAAGGGCTACGAAGTAGAAAATGGAGAAAGGGAAAGCCACAAAAGAAGTGAGGTGATGAGGTTAAATCTGGGAGAATGAACTAGTTGTGTGACTGGGAAAATGGGACTGAGGACATGAGAGAGGGTTGAGGGATGTCAGAAAGAAGAGTCATACTGCATAGCGATAGAGAAAGCAGAGAGAAATTAGACATCAGGGAAGAGTAGAAGAGAAAAATTCCATAAATGTGGAGTTGAAAGACTGTCAAAGCACAATGGTATGTGTTTTCTAGACAAATCTAAGTGAATATCAGGGCCAGGAAGCAGTAGGCTGTTTATGTGTACATTTTTCTTCCCAAACCTACCAGTAAGCCTGTTTTTAGTTAAAACAGAAACATAAGGCTTTGGATGACTTTGCACGGCTCTGTAATACATTCATGGTGGCCTTCTCTTAAATGAACACTTCCACCACTGTCCTGCAATAACGCTAAATTTGCCTGAAACCCTCTTATGGTGGTTAATTGCTAACTTGGATCTTGCTACTGATCCACTCCTATGACAAAGGTCACATTCCTAATGACAAAAGTAAAGAAAGGAAGGTAGTAACATGGTGTCGACGATGCAGTTGAATTTTCCTTTTGTTTTAGAGCATAGGGTTTATTCTAGCTATCAGGCCTCTTCTAGTCAAAACAAAACAAGAATTCTCCCTCTGCTCTTCAGAGGGAGTGTTAGAATTAATTATCTCAATGCATTCTAGATGCCTGTGCATAAATATCACTTCTGAATGCTTGCTTGTGATGAAAACTGCTCGTTGTGTTTTACAGGTACTTCAGCTTCTTCTGGCTCTCTCCTTGGCTCTGATTTCTCTTCCATTCTCTTATGAGACTTGCTTTTTCTCAAATGCAATCTTTCTCTTTCTCGTCTCTCCTTCACGCCTTCAGGCTGCTAAAAGGCAGGGAAGAAATAGCTGGGAATTAAAAGTGACTCCTACATGATTAAAAAAAAAAAAAAAAGGCAAGCTTCATAATTTTATTTCACTAGTATTGTATAACAGAAATACTCCAGTAACCTGCCTCAGCATGATCAGCTCTACCATGATGGGCTCAAATTCAAGGCCCAAGCCCATCACCGTAAAACTCAGCAAGAAGCAACAAACACACCTTGATTATACTCTGTGATGATAGAAGGGTCACCTGCCCAGCAGACTTGAGTAAGGCAGCAGACAGGAGGGAAAAACAGAGGGGCTCCAAGATTTCAGCCCAGATTCCATGTTTTGACATAATCCACCTTTATGGGCCTGAAGGCTGTTCAGCACTAGCCACATGGGCCTCACTGAATACAAGTGCTGAAGGTCATGAACTATTCTCAAAGACACGATTTTAAGAGAAAAGCAATATGCAGGGAAGGACACGAATTACTTCTCCCACACTTTTCTTTTCACCTGTGTCATCATGCTGGTTTGAATTGCACACACAGAGCTCTGAATGCAAAAAAATGCTCTGTTTGGAGACACAAGTTTAAGCTCAAATTTCTTTTCAAATCTGTAACACCTCTTGCTCAGTTCTCTGAGATCCTCAGGCACTTCACATCTCTCAAATGTCAGTGGTGACTGAGGGAATGACAACGATTTGGTCTACTTGAAAGACAGATTAAAATACAGCTCAGCACACGCCACTGTGGATTACAGGAGGGTACAGGATTTGCATGTTTTAACTGGAACTGATGTCATATTTAGTACATTATGCTCACTATACTTATCATACAATTATTACACACTCATAGACTTTCTAGCCATAGGCATTTTTGAGAGATTAGAAATGATAAACCGGACAACCACTAGTGAGCATTGGCACATGAGGCAATGGGAATTTCCAAATGAAATAAATTGAGTAGTTCCAAAAGGGAAAAAAGGATCAGAGAATGCACTTAAAATCTTGACAATGGCGTAACAGTGCAGCCATCACTGTGATTCTACATATTCTTAGAGGACTGGTCATGCAAGGACTAACTGTGGAATGTAGTAATGATGCTTGTTGAAAAGAGATTTTTTTCTCTCTTTTGCTGCACAGGAGGTCTGCAAAGAGAGATGAAAATTACTTTTCCAGACAACCTGTCAGTGTCAACAAACTGGGAAAAAGAAAAGATACTTCCTTCTATTTGGTGACAATGTCAAGTGTTATTCAAGCACAGTGTTTTGAATGGGGTGACAATTTGGTAGTGTTCTGGTACGTAAAAGTGAGCTAGGATTTATTACCCTTCCTTCCATTGTATGATACAGTAGACAGTATGTATCATAATTACAAAAATGTGTTAAAGTGTCATAGACAAAAGGTTGTTATTGGCTACTTCCTCAACACAAACCATACGAAAAGTGGTCTTGTCTCAGGACAGAGTGATGGGGAAAAGAATGAAATGGGGGGAGAATCCCCTGCTGCCTGCATGCTCTTTCAGTGAAATTATGTTCAGCCACTTAGAGCAATAGCTGCTGCCATAGCAGTGTGGTGACACTGCAGAAAGCAGATGGATGGAATCCCAAGGGGTAAAAGAGAAAGAAGCCTCTCAAACACTGCAGTGCCTGGCAGTCTTACAGATAATGCCATATAGGTTAAACCAGGTCAGCAGCAGTGAGAAAGTGAGCTGGGTCTCATGGCATAAGTGAAGCAAACCCGGTTTTTATATTGTCATGGTTTGTTGTCACAGCCATAGAAACCTCTGAAAATATTTCCATAGCCAGTGCAGTACCTCATTTTGAGGATAAATATTTCTGAATAAGCCTAGATGGCAACACTACATCAAGAATCCTCACACCAATGATACAACTTTAACCTTGTTTGTGCTACTGTAGTAATTTGAGACAACATAACATGAGAAATTCTAATTCAAGTTCATTTCTACACTGTCTCCAGCAAAATCACAGCAATTACACAAAGGACAAAGCTGGCTCAATTGTTGGCTGATTGGGCGTTTTCTTATGTAGTCATATTAAGTTAGTTGTTACCTACCAAAGAAACTGAGCGCTTGCTTTTGAGATGCAATTGCTTTTCAAAGGACTCTGCAAATTCCTGAATGGAATTTGATCTTGTGTCTGGGCCTGAGCTGTCTGCTGAAGGTGTTCTGCTTGCCTTCCTGTGGCAGTGGCATTTGACATCTTGGTCTTCTTGAAATTCCTTGGAGCCTTTGAGGTGGCCTGAAGATGAGCCTCTGGCAGAATCATGAAGTCGTGTTGCATGGAGGGAGGAAAGCTTGGCCTGAAAAACAAAAGGTCTTTGTTGAGTACTGAATATTAAAGCAAAGCACACAAGGCAGATTTTTTTCTGCCACAAAGATTCTCCCAACAGTGGTGCAGAGTGAAGGACCTTGCCCAGAATCCTGTGTCTTTCCTCGTATGTGCAGGAGAATCACACTGCCAAGAACTTGCTTTTCTGGAGGTAGCAGCAGCAGAATTTCCTATTATTCCTGTTTTGGAGTATCTAAGCTTTGGCACCCAAATGAGCATTTCAAATGTAAAGTTGCTGGTCCTCTTAGAGTTCACTGGCACTAAAAGGAACTGGAGCCATTCACAACCTCAAAAATTCAGGCCCTGATTTGGCTTCAGTTTCTGGGCAGGAATCTCAAAAATCAAAGACCAAGCCTTTTGTGAATAGAGGACTCAGATACTGGGTTTGACCCATGGGTGCTCCAAGCTTTATCAGATGTTTGAGTTAATTTGAGTGTGACAACAACCATTTCTAGCCTGGTTTTGTCAAATTTTCAGCATGCAGACAAGAAGCTTTATAGTCCAGCTTTTAATTTTCTGCTGGTTTCTTGGGTACATTTGTCGTGAACTGATGAGGGAGCACTTTCAGGGCACTGAAGGACACATCTCTGCCAGAGAAGTGGTAGAAAACAGACTTCCTACAATTACATTTGTAGGGCTGATGTAGGGAGAGAGTAGGTAGTTGTTTAGTTTCTTTGTGATTCAATTTTCCCAGGCCTGACATACAGATAAAAGTTATTGATCTGCATCAGCTGTGTTTAATTGAATGTCTGTAAAGGAGATTAAACCGATACAGAACTGCTGTGTCCTGCAGAGTCATGTATTGGTGGCTTTAGAAATAGACAGACCTGTAGATGGGATGGGTGAGAAGGACACTTCAAAGAGCCAGGGATGCCCCAAATCCTGCCAGTTGCTGGTGCTTTTTCAGGATGAGTACCTGAACACTGGTAAGATGCAGGTGGTGAAAACTCAGAGAGACAGGAGGTACTGAAAACGACACCCCTGCAGGTGTCAGGTCAGGGCACTCCAGGCACCCAACTGCAGCATCCATGTTTGAATGGGTAGATGTTTTGGACGTTATGAGGAGTTTCTTCACAGGCAGGATGTCATTGGAAAGGACTGCCCAGGAAGGTGGTGGAGTCACGATTCCTGGAGGTGTTTAAGAAAATACTGGATGTGGCCCTTAGTGCCATGGTCTAGTTGGCATGGTGATGTTCAGTTAAAGGTTCAGATTTGATGATCTCAGGAGTCTGTCTTTTCCAACCTAATTGACTCTGTGATTCTATGTTTCATATAGGCCTGGTGCTAAGCCTTCAACTACAGATTAACCCTGAGAAGCTCTGCTGCCTTCAAGGAAGATGTGATTGTTTCAAACAATTGAAGGTCTATCCTACAGATCCTGAAATGCTTTCTAAGAAAATCCGGTAGAAAACCCTACACTCAGAGTAAGTTTGTTGGAGAGGAGTGTGTGTGTACTGTTTGTTTTGGTTTATGGGCAAATGGAGGAAAGCTAAATCAGATTGGTATAGCTGCCACCTGAAATATCTCCTGTACACAACTTAATTTACTCTGGTCCAGATGCTACTGTATATATGTATAAACACAACAGGGACCTATGCAGCCTTTCTCTAAGTAGTAAGGCTGTGCCTTCATATAGTTGTGGTTATATCACATTAGACAGGCTTGATGAGAGATGCTAAAAATAATAAATCTCACACCTGAGAGAAGTACACAATTGTGAAGAGTTTTCCAAACATATGGTACTAGTTCAATTTTTTTTCCAGACATAAGCTTGCTATGTCCAGTATTATGGACTGCCTCTGAGAGTAGTGTTAATGATTTCTGCCACACTATTTTTACTTTGGTTTCAAACCAATCAATACAGCTGTAAGTTCTGTAAGGTCATATTGTATTGTTACTTTAAAAAGCATGAAAACAATCACATTGTGCTTGAGGGGTAGGAGCACAAATGACATGCCAAACTCAACAAGCTAAATGTCTTCTGTGTCATCAACATATATTGTTTCCTGGAAATAAAAGTTTTCTCACAGTAAAAATCACTGGTTGTTCTTAGAGGGTCTGGGGGAAAAAAGCCCACAGGAGGACAGCTGAAATGGGGGATCGTATTCTATCAATCCTGTTTTGCAATGCTAGTAAATGTTTTCTTTTACTAAGACATTGCTTCTTAATTTCCCATCACAGAGGGAATTATAGTTAAGCCCCTAAGGAAAGACTACAGTCTTACCTATTGACATGGCAGCAATGGTCCAGAAAAGGGACAGGCTTTCCTCTGAAATGCCCCTCTGCCTCAGTGGACTAAGGGTAAATACCTGTGCAATCATATTACTGTGACTGTGCCTTCTCTCGCAGTGCCTTTTCAGTGATACATATCACCACACCTAGGACAGCATCTTTTGTGTCTTATGGACACAACCCTACAGAAGACAACAGTCTCACCATAAGTCTTCTCAAGCACAGGACATTAATCTTCTTTTATTCAATACTGACTCTGTGAAAAACTAAGAGTTGTAAAATAAAGTTCAGTGATGAAGCAGATCTGGCACTGACCGGAGATAAAATCCAAGTGTCTTTCTTCCTGTTTCATAGATTTAATACACGCATCAATACATGTGTTTAATGACAAATTGATTGCTTGGTAACACTGTAAATAAGAACGGATGAAGATTGCTTTAATCTATGTTTTCCCTTCCTGAAGTCTCAGCAGCTGCTGCCAACAGAGATCGCCTCTATATCTGCACTCCTGGGTGTGCACCCTCCGCTGCTGTTGTCCCTTGACAAAGTTCTGTGAGCACAGTCCCAGCATCTGCCTCGTGCCCACATGTGGTACCTCTTTAGTGAACTCACCTTGGTCTCTGCCTCCCAGGATCTGATCTCAAGTAGTTCTTAAACTGGAGAAGTGGAGAGGAGGTGAAACAAGGGAAAAGACATGGGAGGGAAGAATGTTAAATGCTCCAGTGTATCAAAATGGGGATTTTTTTTGCCAGCACTGGGAAATCCAGAAGAACCAAAGGATCTCAGGGATTGTTTCTCACTCCCTTTAGTACTCCTTTTTTTCTGCCTTTGAGTAAAGGCCAGTCATGCTCAGTGTACCTATTCACAAAACAGCTAATCTGCTAATTGCCCATCTAAAACACACAAAAAGTACACAAACAAAAATACTTCAAGAATTGGTGTCAGTACAGTTTGCCTAATCTTTTTCTCAATTTCTGTTGCAGACAAGCTGATTGCTTGCATCTTTTGAGCTTGCACAGCTGTCAGTAAGAAAATTAGTCATCAGTGTGTCAACAGAGTGTTGTTTGTTTGAAGTTTAACCAATGACTCCAGTATTTTAGGGATATTTTGGAATATTGGACATTTGGATGCTGTCCCATGGCTTCCTTTCCTTCTGAAAAGCTTATAAACAAGCATATATTCCTTAAAAATATTTTGGTCTGGGCTCCAACTGATTTCTAGTAACAATATTGTGGTAAATGTTCAGTCTGACTTTAGTGTAAATTAAATGTTAGTAACTTCAACAGCAGTCAGTCGTTCTGCTCCCACTCTCAGCTGCTCTTATCAGATTTTCTCCTGTGAGCAGCAACACCTATTTGAAGGCTTATACATGTATAGGTTGTAAAGCCCTTATCAGTGCTCCTTTGCCTCCTAGCTTTTTCCCACAGCAAAATGTCTAGGAGGTAAGAACTGCCCTGAACCAAAACGGTGCAGGATAACTAGAATGTGTCAAGGAAAGTCATAGCTGGAGGCTTCAAAAAGGGTATCACAGTTAATTTGCCTAAAGTTTGCCAGGGGAACAAGCTAAATAGAGGAGATGGAAACAGATGACAGTTCTCCCCAGGCAGTTTTCACAGTCATTGTTGGCCCACAGCATCAAATACAACTCTGAGGCTTTTCAGGAGAGTTGCGTGTTTTAGCCTGACTTGCCCGTGACCTGGGGAAGGATGAATATAATTTTGTGTTCCCCTCTGCAAAATGTGAATGACAATAGTGAAAGCATTTTGTGAAGCTCATCTCAATAATCTTTCTGAGGTATACCAAGATGTCAGGGAAAAATAATGAAAACTGTTTTTAGTTTGTGAGTTATTCTACAATGCTTTTTGCTTATTTTTGGAGGGGGCTGTACCATGATGGATGCCACAGAGGTTTATTATTGTGTTTGAGGTGAGAGCAGTGGCTTGAATGTCTTCCTACAGCACAGGAAAAACTACAAAGACCAACACACCAATTTGGAGCTGAAAGTGATTTTCGGTGTTATGTGAAACCACCTTTTGTGCTATAGTGTGAGCATTTTCCTAGGTAATACCCAAACACTCCTGGTGCAGCTGCAGTTCATGTGGGCAGGGCTGCACTATTGCTGATGCACTGCACATCAGCCTTGGATACGAGACAAAGTGTGCTGGCAGTGCTGTTTTGGCAGTACCATTGTATCTGCAACTTTTGTCAACAGCTGTGTCAGAACCCGCTGACTTGATTTTCACCTGGACAGTGGAGTTATTTCAATTTAAGATGTTGAGACAGACGAAAGGGTACACTGTCTTCTGCTGTGAAGGTATTAATTTACAGAAGAGATGCTCTCTAATCTCAGTTATTATTCCTCCTGGTTAATAGCATGGTTCTGATAAAATTAAGACAATATTTAAATAACAATACAAGTGTTTTGAATCTTACGATAGTTAGTATTTGTAATAACAAATCTTACAGTATTTATAATTTGTAGTAACTGTAAAAAAACACATGGCCAGGTGCAATAGCAAGTTGTTACTCTCAACCACCATATGCTCTTTCTGAAGGTATTTCTAAGGCATCACTAGTGCTGATTGGTTTAATTTCTAGCTTTGGTTAAAGGCAACATGTTTTGGTGCTCTTTACTACCAACTAGTCAACTTTCAAATCAAAAGCTTCATCTCAGAATTTATCCCCAAATCATAAAATCACCAAACAAATCTTCCCTTCTCATTCCTCTATTCAACTTCTGGTACTAACAAATAAAGCAGCTAAAATTTATATCTTATATATAAAACTAGGAGAGCAAGACAAATTTGTGTGAAGCATTAATGCAAAAGCCAGACATATATGTGTACATTGAGGGCTATAGAAATCACATATGCATAGATCTCTGAAGGAAAAAAATAACATATAGTAAAATTAATTAACATCTCCCACACACACACACACAAATACATAGTATGTATCCAGCATTCTGATGGAATACACCAGCAAAGCTCTAGCTCAGAGTCTGACTTGCAATCTGTGGCCAAGGTGAAATGTAACAGTAAATAACAAATGTGGCTGATCAGACCAGAAGTTAGGACTGAAGGTTACTTCTGCAGCATGTCCATGAGTTTAAAGAGGGTTTTGGACTCTTTTGGTTTCTTAGCCATTTTTTTTGAACTGAAAAATCCCACAACTTAGAACATGGCAGTTCCAGTAGAGAAATTGCAAGGTGAAAACATAACATGGCATAAAAATAAAAGTTTGGAAAAGATCAGCTGTCATTCCTTCATATATTAGCATTTGCTTTGTTGCAGCCAAAATGATCTAAGGATATAAGTAAAAAATGGCTTTAAGGAAACATAGCATCTTTGTTTAGCCAACTGATGTACTTGGGAAAAAACAGACAGGTTTGGACCACCTAAATATTCTTCTAAGAGCTGAAATAAAAGCAACAGTCTTTGAGTAAAAAGAAGAATGTGAAAGCTGTTTTCAGTTTAACCTAATTTTCAATACCAGACAGTTGTGAGCTGCCTTAAAAACCTGCTTCTGCACATGAACTTTGCCCCTTTCCAAACTATTTTGTTAGTTTAAGAACAAAGAATGTATTTCTACCTTAAAATCTTACTTCACAGTTTAATAAGCTTTGTTATGTATTGTATTCTTGTTTTCAGAGTCAGATGTTTTAAATCAGAAGAGACCACATCCTCCAGCTTAAATTAGAAGTTGCACCTGCAAACAGCTAAATCCCAGGGAGTAAAACTTCCTGGAGACAATATTGTTACAGAATTAGCTCCAAATCCTATTAATACGTATGGAGTTACATAGTTTTACATATGAGAACAGACTTGTTAAAGACAGTCTTCATGTATGCCAGTTGCAAAATGTTTTGATCTCTGCCAGGTCATGCTGAGCAGACAGAAAAGCACTGTAATGCGTAGTTAGGCAGCTATTACATGCTTCTCCTTATGTTGCTGGTCCTGTCATCATTTATCTTGGAATTTGCCCTTTTTCCTGTATTCGAAGACACCAGAGGCCTGACCCTGGTGGGAAGCTTAGTCCAAAAACAACCAGCTGCTGCCAGCAGGAACTGAACTTACTTGGTAAGGTGTACCATACACATCCTGATACATTTCTAGGGCCATGCTCCTGGGGGTGGAACTTATATTTCTGCATAAACCACCTGCACACACAGAGAAAACTGCGCACAGCTCTTACCGGTAGGGATGCTCTCCTCTCACTACAGAATCGTGTCTGACGTTTCTTGTGGCCTCGACCCTCTTTCTCATTCTCATCGATCAAGTTGTGGCCCCAGAAGCTGCTCATCCATTTTGCAAAGAAGATATCATCATCCTCCTCATATTCCATGTACAGATGTTCCAAACTTGGGGGGGTGTCTCCCAACCAGACAAGGAAAAGCAAGGTCAAATTCCACCACCAAGACAGTAATTTCACACTGTTCTGCCAACAAGAGGAAGCAGAGACGCAGTTTCAACCACTCTTGCTGCAGAAACCCATCCCACTGCAGCCCTGGGCACTGTCTAAACACAAAGTCAATCCTTTCTCATTTCTTTTCAACAAGGTTTCTTTTAACCTTTCCATTGCAGCGCTGTCCAATATGACACTGCCGCAGGGGGCTGCTGAGGGGGGGTGTTGGCTACTCTGTGTGTGTGGCTGTTGAGTGCACCAGCTGTCAATACCAGTGGAGAATTGCCCACAGTTACATGCCTGGGAGGTGTGTACACAGACCCAAAGCAGGCCTGTGATTTTGAGAAGTAGAATCAACATATTGATGTTGGTCAGGAACTGGCACGGCTGCTTGCAGAGACACAACTAGCTCTGTGGGAGGGAGCACAAATGGCCAACTCTTCCCAGGTTTCTCTCCCTCCTGACTTCTGTTGCCTCTGCTCTTCCTTCAGTATTTAGGAAATGTGGTCTGTCTAGGTAGAAGTAAGACCCCCTGAAGGAACTGTTTGTTCATTTTTGGGTTATAACAGACAGTGGAAACTTGCGTCAGCTGCTTTTCACCAGAATAATTTCATCTGCTGTACAGGGTTGTGGGAGGCACTGCCTCACTTGAATGCACACAGGATAAAAATAAGTTTGATTTCTCCTCACCAGCCCTGGGTGCAACCTATATAGGCCATGTCTAGATCACAAACAGAACAGGGCCAGAGACTGTTTTCTGGCCCTGAATCTAAGTTTCTGCACTGATCACACGTACCCTACATGGTGCTTGTGCTGTGGGTCTCCTTGAGGCTGTATGTACTACACTGTGGCTGTAATATTTTGTTGTAACTTTTGTGTATTTTTTATTTTAAATTACCTGATATAACACAAAAATTCTCTTGTGGCCCATGAAACTGTTGACTGTATGGTACAAAACTGGAAGATGTGTTACATGCCTTGGGACCTGGCAGAAGGACAAGGAGGAGGACTCTAAGGCTGTAGAGCCTGTTGGGGTAGTGTTGGAAGACTGGATAAGAGGAAGAACTCAAATCTAACTTCTTATTGGAAGTAGTTCTTGGTGTGTTCTAGGTGTTCTCCTGGTGCCTAGGCATTGCTACTTGGCCTTGGCCGGACGTATGCCAAAAAAGCTCGCTGGTAATTTAGCATTACAGAGAATCAGTGGTCCAGCATTAAACCTTGGCCTTTTCCACAACCTACTTAGAAATACAGATGCAGTAACAAAAGTCCAGTTTCATTCATGTGGGTGCAGGTAGGAGGTTTAACACCAATGTAGGACTCTTCATTCTAAACAATATGGGTAAAGGGACCAATGGATGCCTATGTTCCCAAGTTTCACCTTGTCCAGGGCAGGCAAGACTGTGATTAGCACGGGGACTTGGAGTACATGGGTGTGCAGATGGCATTGCCTCAGATGTGATGTACCAGAGCTTGGACACAACCAAACCTGTAGTAGGCTGCTTTCTTGGCAGAGGCACAGGTGGATAGGAGCAAGAGGAATACCTGCAAAGCAGTACAATAAAAAGACAACTGAAGCAATAAAAAGGATGTGTAGGCTGATTCTTCAGGTGCTAAAGAACATTCCTGGCCATATTCTGACAGCCTGAATTCGACTTACATCCTTGAGGCCACCCATGGGTACAAGCAAGATACTTTTGCAGGCCTATAGTAGTTCATAGGAAGCATCACGTGTGTGGAATTGAGGCTGTTCCAGTAGGAAGTTATCAACCTGTTGGATACGTGTTTTCTCCTCTGTGGTTTGAGTTTCTTCTCTTCTGACATATGCAAGACAGAACTGCAGGTTGTTGTGTGGAACAGGAAATGCTCCTGCCATGCTGAGACAGGTGACAGGGAGAAGTGGAAGAGAGGTTGTCCCACAGCTTTGTCAAAATATGCATATGTAAATAGTAATAATCCATAAATTAGAGGATACATCTCAAGCTGTTTACTACCAGGCACTCATATATATTGACTCAGAATGCAGCAGAGCAAATTTTAGTTGAGCTCCTGAAGTATTTGCTTTGCAATCTTCCTGTTGTTAATATTTTCAGTCCTTTTTTTCTACACTGCAATATGTGTGAAGACACATATTCCTTCCATTTCCCTGCCACCTACAATGAAACTTCTAGCCATGAGATGTCTAGAGCTTTCTGAGTATAAAAACATATCAAAGACAACTTGTCTTCATCCTCAGCCAAACGCTCCATGGAAATAAGTGGAGACAGAAACATAAGCTTCCTCTGCCTACAGGTATACACACACACATACACTACAAGTACAAATTCCAGTACTGCATATTAAATTATTGTTATGACAGACTCAATTAATAACTTAAAGATGTCATTTATAATAAGGATTGCTTCAAAATGCTCCAGTATAAAGTCCTAGAAACTTTAAATCAGTCATGTTAGCTGAAACTACACAGAACCACAGAAGAACAGAATCACAGACAGGGTCGGGTTAGAAGGGACTACAGTGAATCATCTGGTCCAAACTCCCTGCTCAGGCAGGGTCATCCCAGAGCACGTGGCACAGGATTGTGTCCAGACGGTTCTTGAATATCTCCAGTGATGGAGACTCCATAACCCCTCTGGACAACCTGCCTGGTCATCACACAGTTAGTTCCTCATGTTCAGAAGGAACTTCCTGTGCATCACTTTCTGGCTCTTGCCTCTTGTCCTATCGCTTGGCATCTACCAAGAAGAGCCCGGTTCCATGCTCTTGGAAGCCCGCTTTTAGATATTTACACAGTTTAGTGAGGCCCACTCTCAGCCGTCTCTTCTCGAGGCTGAACAGACACAGCTCCCTCAGCTTCTCCTCGAAAGAGAGATGTTCCAGTCCCTTAATCACCCTCGTTGTCCTCTACCGGACGTGCTCCAGGAGCTCCCCATCTCTCTTGTCCTGAGGAGCCCAGAGCCGGACACTGCACTCCAGACGTGGAGCGCACTCCGCATGTGAGCGGCCCAGAACTCCTTCCGCGCAACATCGGTCCGGACCCGAGACCCCTCCAGCGTTTTCGGGCTGACCCCTCCCCTGCTCCCGCCGTGTCCCCGCGGCCCACATGCTCTGCCGGGTTCAGCCCCGGTGCGCTGCCGCGGCGTACGGCGGTGCGGGCCCGCTGCGCTGCCCGCCGGGCCGGTACGGGCGGTGCGCTCAGCCCCGGCTGCCCCGCCGGGCCGGTACGGGCGGTGCCGGGTTCAGCCCCGGGGCTGCGCTGCCCCGCCGGGCCGGCAGGGGCGGTGCGGGCGGGCGCGGCTCGGCTCAGCCCCGCGCTCCCGGCGAGCCCCGCGTGTCCGCTGAGCCTCCTCCCGCTGCTCCGCCCGGGCGTCATGGCCGCCTCGAAGCCCGTGGAGCCGGCGGGCGGCGGCGGCCCCGCGGGGCTGTCCCGCTGGCAGCTGGCGCTGGTGCTGGGCGCGCCCATCCTGCTGGGCGCCGGAGCCATCTACCTGTGGGGGCGGCGGGCCGCGCGGCGCGGGAAGGGCGCGAGCGAGAGGAAGACCCCCGAGGGGCGGGCGAGCCCCGGGCCCGGCGGCGATGGAGGCTCCGGGCAGCCCGACGGGCCCGGCCACGAGGAGATGGTGAGCGGGGCGACCGGCGGCGTCGCCCCGCCGGGCGCTGGGGGCCTGGGCCAGGGCCGGGGTCGGGGTCCCGGCTGGGGCGGCGAGGGGGTGCCCGGCTGCGATCTGCGGCAGGGTGGAGGGTGGGCCGGGTGGGCGGCCGGAATGGTCCAGGAAGCGGCTTTTGGAGTGCCGGTACCGGAGGGAGGCGTGCGAGGGGATGGAGCTCGGGTGGCATCCTGGTCGTGCTGTGCGTGACGCGCCCGGCAGGTCACTGAATGGATCGGGTTGGAAGGGACCACAGTGAGTCGTCTGGTCCAAATTCCCTGCTCAAGCAGGGTCGTGCTAGAGCACATGGCACAGGATTGTGCCCAGACGGTTCTTCTCCACGGAAGGAGACTCCACACCCTCTCTGGGCAACCTGTTCGAGCACACGGTCACCCGCGCAGTAAAGAAGTTCTTCCTCGTGGTCAGGAGGAACTTCCTGTGCATCGGTTTCTGCTCGTTGCCTCTTGTCCTACTGCTCTGCACCACCGAGCAGAGCCTGGCCCTGTCCTCTTTACACCCTCCTTTCAGATATTTATACACGTTAATGAGGTCCCCTCTCAGCCGTCTCGAGGCTGAACCGACTGAGCTCCTTCAGCTTTTCCTTGTAAGAGGGATGCTCCAGTTCCCTCACCCTCTGGACTCCCCCAGGGGCTGCGTGTCTCTCTGTGGTCGCCCGGCGTGACTCGTAGTTCCTGATCACAGTTCTGCCCTCACCTCGCAGCAGTTGGGATTAGCTTTTTCCCACTGTGTTTGTTCTAGTCCTGGTGGGACTAGTGTATGGAAAAGCGCCTTGCTGAACACGTCTTGTTGTGAAGTTCACATCAGCTGGGTGAACGTGACTCTGGCAATGTTCTGCTGAGAGGGAAACATTCCTCTGCTTCTGAGGTGTAGAATAGCTGTGGGTAAGTTGTGTCTGGGAACAGTATTTTGGAAAGGAAATTTGTGATCTGTTGCATGTTAGTCTGAGAGAGAAAGAAAACACAATCAAGATAATTTTGAAATGAAACATGTTCCATAAAAATACTAAAACCATTACAGTTTAAGTAACAGACTTCAGGAAGAGTTTGCCTAAGTAGACATGCCCTCAAAAGTTATATTTATTCTGTTGTAAATTACCATTCTGAGAATTTTCAGATATAATGGTCTATGTAAAAACTGAAGGACAACAGGCAATATTGGAGTCCATATCAAATCCATAATTCTCTTGCATATCTGTATGTGGAAAAATGCATCTAAGGAGGCATTTTGCACACCTGCTGTCACAGAAGTACATTGTCATTGTGCATTATTGAGGTGAGGTTGCAGTTTACAAACATGTTTAAAATGATGGATTTAACAAACTGATTAGTTTTGTTAAGAAAATCCTGTCTGGCATTTTCTTTTCCCCTTTTTGTGTACTGTTCAAAACGCTTTGAATTGTCAGATGACAGTTTAAACTTCCCATCTGAAATGAGAAGGAGGGAAAAAAATCGGCTTCCAAGACTGGAAAAAGTCGGTTTTGACTTTGATCCTTGGTGATGAAGATCAGTGTGTGGGCGGGCAGTGGCAGGAACACTTGGGAGTGGTGAGGAGGGTGGCAACTTCCCTAGCTAGTGAATCATGGCTACCCTCGGGCATTCCTGGAAGCATAGTGAGCTGTAAAACCTATGCTGGACCTTGAGGCAGTTTCTTGAATGCAGTGATTTGTTCTTTCCCAGGCACCACACAGTACTGAGCATGTCCTGTACAGAGGACAAATTCAGACTTTGTTTACCATGGTAATTTTGGCTTGTGGCTGCAAGCAGCATCTGGCACATTTATGGGAGTGTGGTTGCTAGGTGTGAGCTCTGGTTTGCAGCCTGCCTGTGACCTTTGTATAGCTGCAGTGGCTTCCCAGTTAGTATATTCACTCTGGGTTTCTTGATAGTGTTTCTGAATTCCAGAATATAAAATCCAATGGTTTGTAGTCATTCTGCAGTTGTACTTGAAGCAAGCTCTTAAAACATTTAAAACACATAGCATTTGGTTTAAAATATTGTTTGTCTAGGTCTTTCAGATTGCTCCACAAATTGAAATACTGGAAGACTATTCATCTAAATTGAGTGGTATGACCCAGAGTTCCTTGAAGAATGTAATTGCTTACACTGTAAAAAAATGAGCAATACTACTTTAGGAAAAACTGTAGAAGAAGTTACCAGATTTGAGTGATGACATAATTGTCTAGCTGCTCAAAATATGGCTGCAGCAGGAAAATTAATGTGACTGCAAGTTCCCTTGACTGCTTTATGTGTGTGTGGAGGATTCTCTTCCTGTTGTTCATATCCAAAGTGATGATTCCATGTAGATTTCATGTTTCCCCTCATATTTTATTAGTTATGTCTATTATTGATATACCCTTGATTGAAAATATAATGATGCGGATACTTTACTTGTAAAACTACCTGCATTGTATTAGTCTGCCTTTTTTATGTGATAGGGTATTTTTTTAAGCTCAATCTGATTTCACATACAAATCTGCACAGTGAATAAGAGCCAGTACTTCATTCAGTCGAAACACAAGCGAGAAGTCTTTCAGAAAGGTCAGTAATGAATTCACTACCAACAGCTGTGTCAGCTAACTATTCTTTTACTCATAAATGTAACTAAGGGCTCATACTTTTTTGTGCATTTCATTCAATCAGCCCTTGTATCCATTTGGTGCTTTGTTCACTGTTTCTGAAGACACGACCTTGTTTTTTATTTCTTTGTTCTTTGAAAATACGCAGGCTCTAAAATCTTCTTTGTTCTTTATTCAGACTTGTTACTATTTTGCATGCAGTTCAAGCTTTCCTTTTACCTGCTGCACAGGCCTCACATTTTTTTTCCCAGGCTGTGTCTGCACTTGAGGCTTCTCCTGGCATTGATGCACTGGTCAAGTGTGTGAGCTGTGACTGACATTGTGTTGGCAGGAGCCCCTGGCATAGGTGCTATATTGGGAAAAGCTGAACTGCTTTTGAGATTCCTTCTCCTGTAAGCACAGCTCCTCAACAGCACAGTAAACTGGTATTATTGGACCAGTTAAGTGATGATGATAAAACTGCATCTATGGATGACTCAAAGGTTGTAAAGTCAAATTGCATCTGTTAATTACAGAAGTTGTCATCGTTTCTTATAATTTCAATGGAATGTGTTATGGTTACTCAGTAAAAGCTGTTGCTTTTTACGTGCTCTCCTAGTTTGTAGTGAATATTGCATAACTTTAAAACATGGAGTACTTCGCATTTATTGCTTTTGTTGATTCATGTTTTTTCACTTATTCCGTGATACCTTCAAGGTGTCACGGAATAGTTTTATACTATCCTTGCCTGGCAGGAGTGAGCACTGGTTAGTCAGTGAGTTAATGTGTTGGTTGCTTCAGTATTTTTTTTTCTCTTTAAGTTGAAATCACTTCCTATTGCAACTCTGTGCTAGTCTGAATCTCACCCCTTAAATCTTTCAGCAAGTTCATGGAGTAACCCTGTAGTTTTGGTATGTGAGGAGGTCAGCCAGTGGCTTTGTGTACTGCAAACAAAACCATTTGGGTCCACAGCAGTTCATTGTCTTTGCACATTTTCCTGTGAGCTGAATACAGTCCTTGAGTGCAGTGGTGGGTGAATGTGACCAAACTCCTTGGCTTGTGTGCTGCCACATATCGGGATCAGCAGCCTACTAGTGTGGCTTCTTTCCACTGTCTGTTTTAATGGCAATTGCTGAGTGTTGCCTCTCTCACTGCTGTGTCGTTAGATCAGGGTATGATCAAATGGAACCCCTTTGCCTACATATACTCATCTTGGTACTTACTCTGAATTGATCTAAGCAAAGTATGTAAAAAGTAATTTCTATTGTACTGTGCACCTGTTGCCTAATAAATGTCTCTATCGACCTACTCTAAGTCTTCTGTTTGATGCCAGCTGTAGTGGACAGGTGTAGAAAACCCTTACATGTGTGTATACTAGCAGAACAGTTGTTAGACTCTTGTCATCTCCTGTGCAGTTTGCTTATTCGTGGTAGGTGTGAATGGCAAATTCATTTAACAGGATGGTGACTGAGAACGTTGTCAAAGTGTACTGTAAACTTGAGCTTCGTTATTTCTCACTAATAAATACATTCTTGCTTGCACTCTGAATTTACATCTTGGGCTCATATAAACACGCTTTTTCTCATAGTTGTTTCAGTACTAAGGAGACTCTTAAAACAATTTTTACTCAGTTAATGCCTTTCAGTATAGGTTCGAAAGAAGATGAAATGAACCTTAGTCCAAAAAATAAAAGGGGGGGGGAAATAAGTGTTCACAAAAGAACACTTTTTTTTTTGGTACCTCATCAAGAGGATCCTCTCACTTGGAGAGGAAAAAAGAGGTCTAGACCAGGGCTTTATTTTTTTGTGAGTTGAATTAAGATGGCTGAAACACTAGTCCCCCTCCATGTCATCTGTCAGACA